TGGTTTTTCTTTGTTCTGGAAGCAGAAGTAGCACTCAGCAGGGATAAAATAAGGTCTTCCTGATGCCCTGTGGACAACAGCCATTTGCTCAACAACTGTTCATCTGTGTCGACAGAAAAAAAGGTTGAAAATCAGTAGCATTCCTTATTTTGTACAAACGTTTGGGGTCAGTATTTTTTTGAAAGTAGTAATACTTTTATTTAGCAAGAATGTATTAAATTAATCAAAAGTGACAGTACAAAAATTTGTCATGTGTAATTTCCTATTTCAAATAAATGCTGTTGAATTCATAATATATGTTTCTTGAGCAACAAATCAACATATTAGAATGATTTCCGAAGGAGCATGTGACACTGAAGACTGGAGTAATGATGCTGAAAATTCAGCTTTGCCATCACAGGAATAAATATATAATAAAATATATTAAAACAGAAAAATTAAATATATTAAAATAGAAGTTGAAATAGAAAACAGTTGTTTTAAACTAATAATAATTCACAATTTTACAGTTTTTTCCTGTATTTTTGATCAAATAAAGCAGACATGGTGAGCATAAGAGACTTCTTTCAAAAACATTTACTAAATCTTACTGACCCCAAACTTGTGAGTGGTGTATGTATACAAAAGAATGACGAAGAAAAGCAGGGTTGAAAATGTCATTAATTTCCTTTCTTTTCTTCTCCTCTCTCTGTTTCTTTCACTGTCTTTAAATGACAGAGGAGAGAAGAGGTGCAATCCCACAAGGTTCTGGTGATGCATAGCAAAAAATATGGTAAATGAGCGGCAAGTAGTGCCTCAAATAAAGAATGAGTCCCAGGAGAGTAGTCCTTGAAGTTTGAGCGCAAGTAAATGAGAATGTTGAAAGAATAGATTATATTGAAGTGTTAATATACTGAGACTGTTGCATGGCCTGCATTTCTGAGTTTCTCCCGGTCTTTGTTTGCAATGCAGCACATCAAACTCGCTCTGGAGCGAGGCTCTCATGGGAATAAATTATCAACCATTGACTTTTTGTCTGCCTTCTTACTTCCTTTTGTTTCTACGGGTAGGCTGGAGTCAGTGGAGCGTTGCGTACCTCTATACCACAGTGACTATATGCCCATTGAAAGCGAGTTCATTTGGTGGATTCAGTTTGAATAAAATAAATAAGCAAGCATGGTTCTTAGCATTATTCATAGCTCAAGGAGGAGATTTTGATTGGAATAGTCATAGGAGGAACTAGAAACTATGCGGTAAATGAAAAGCAGATACAGGGTCAAGACTTTAGACCCTGAAACCGCAGCCCTCTGCAGTCATTGTGCAACTGTTATACAAATTGTTAGTTATGTACTTGAAGGCAGGTTCAATAAGAACAGAAGGCCAGAAAATTAAAATGTGAACATATGAGAACAAAGAAAGTATAAGACAACTTGTGAAAGTATGCTGAGCTTGCTTGTGTGTGGACTGATGTTTCACTGTCGTTTCTGGACCCAAATAGCCATGCAGACAGATTGTGGCCATTTTAAGGAGATTATGGGGCAGATGCCAGCGTGGCATTGCAGCATGTGGCACAAAGAGAACCACTGCTTCCACCTTGTACAACCTTTCTACATATGCTCTGGACTAAAACCTAGTGAGCTGCCTATGGAGGCAGCATATTCAAGGAATATTGTGGGTTCAGTACACGTTAAGCTCAATCAAGCTTTGCGACAAAGTTGATTACTATAAAAATTAATTTCCACATGGTCCAAATTTTCTATAAAATAAGCAAATCTGTTAATGTTAAAACAATCAACAGCATAATTCCTAAGATGACGAGAACAACAATACAGCTGGCTGAGCAATGTGCCAAACTCTTTTGGAATCAATTAGTCTGTGGTCAGTTATGAAGTTCCAAGACCATTAGAACAGGCAGCTCACTACACAAGGTTCCCAAAGGCGGTTTCAATTAAATATCACAAAACAACCATTTTTGGTTCCTGAAAGTACCTTTAAGTTAACAATTCTTAAACATGTTTTCTTAGTGTGAAGAACATTTTAATAATCTAAAGAAAAATGTTTCCACTTTTTAAAAACCTTTTGTAAATTAGAAACGTTCCATGGGTGTTAATGGTTCTTCATGGAACCATAAATGTCAATAAAAAACCCTTTATTTTAAGAGTGTGGATTTTGGAATAGAACAAGAGTGTCACACATGACACCTACACAGAGATACCTACATTACACAGGGCCCTACTGACATTTATCATAGCACAGCTTGACAACACAAAACACCAATATGCAAAGCATTCAGCAGAAATGGCATTCTTTTAATTAAATTATCACTTTTACTGGTGGATTTTGAGTGGAAAGCTTCTGATGGGCCAAAACTGTGGCAGCTGTGCCCTCGGGCTCAGTGTCATGTCCTCAGCCGGATGCCATCCAATGGGTGAGGCCAATCCTGAGCTCTAATTAGCAGGAGGAGATAATGTCACACAGAACAGACAGATCAATACAGAGGACAAGGAATGGCAGTCGATGCCTCCTCTTTATCCCGGACAGATTTCCAAGAAGGGACATCCCCCATGGAACAGCTCTACTTCAGGAATTCACCTTCTGCTCTGATGAAGACACCAGGGGTGACATGTTGCTCTGAGGACCTCGGTTCTCATCTCAATACATTCCTATGACAACCACCTCACAATCTAAAGTGCAACTAACACTTGAAATGTAGTTGCTCTCAAAAAAAAAAAAAATTCATCAATTCTGGCCATTCTTTTCTTTACAGATCTGGTTTCAAACAGAAAAGTATCTAGAACAGCAAGCTTGGCTTGCCATTGAGTTCATACAGGTCAAATCAACAGGCATTAGTATTAATTTTCCTTGAACATGCTATCACCCCAGGAGATATGTCTCAATTACAACCCTACCTCTACAATACCTCAAAACAAACCCAGCTTGTAGAATGAATAAATGAACACAGTGGAGAGAGAGAAAAACAATGCTGGCTTTGAGGGTTCCCACACTCTGTGTTCGGTCTCCATGGAGATGCACTGTTGCCTGCTGGGCCCATTCAGGCAGAAAGGGAAGGACTAACTACACACAGAAAAGTCCAGAACAGACCACCTTTACCAAAGCTATAGTAACTTATAAGCAGAACGGTGGCATAATATGAGGGGATGGGAGAGTGTGCCATCTGGCACAGGTTGGCATAATGACTCTTGACCTGATTATGGCACAAAAAACACATTGCTCCTTTTTATGTATCCTCATTTGATCTATCTATCTATCTATCTATCTATCTATCTATCTATCTACCTACCTACAATGCTGAAAAGCTTGACAAAAAAATGAATTCACAACAGAAGTTCTGGCTGAAAACAAAAATTAATTCGAAATAGCATTCATCTAGAAAACAAACGCAAACTGATGGCTGAACCACACAAAAGATGTGTGACATATTAACACAATAGTCACTGACCTAAAAACGAGGGGCTGTCAATGAACACCTGACACCTGGATCAGTTCAGTTACAAAAAAAAGAGAGAGATAAAAAAAACACACATTTACGATCATGATTTTTCTACTATCAACACTAATGTGGAAACCTACGGTAACAGTCAGCATTGATGTTTAAAAAAGAAAACAGAGTGAAGACTAGTGCTGCTAAATAGGTTAAGAATGAGAGCAGCTTGATGTATGCTCTGCTTTGTAGCTGCATTTGTGAGTTTCCCTATATTTTCACACAAAAATTGTCATGCGTCTTTAATAAATAACGAAACAGTCACAAAAACACTTGTTTCCTATCATGATAGGTACTTTCGATTGACTTCTGTTGTTTTTATATTACTGTAATGGTGTTCGCAACCTTTTAACCCTAGAGCTAACCCTCACACAAACCTTTCTGCGTACACATTAAAACATGACTGTATGTTTACTAAGCTGTCTTCCTCTCGGAGACGTTGGTTGGTCACCATAATGTTATTTTAGGTTTTACTAGAGTCTTCCTCACCGGACACTCAGTCACTGGCGCTTTTGTCCTTCAGACTGAGCGCGCGGTCCACTCTGCTCAGTGGAACCACACGGGAAGGTAACGCGACGAGAGTCGGTGTCTTTTCAAGCGTTTTATTCTTAGCAAACGTCGAGGTGTCCGTTTCTACCCAGTCCACAGGCAGTCTGAAGAGGATGTTCTGTGTCAAAGCACATCGTCCTCACGTGCTCTACAGCTTCAAACGCTGTGGGAACATACTCCTGCAGTGCAACCGTTCAGAAAACGCCACGTAGAGATGCGTTTAACGCGGTCGCCGGTGCCCCAAGTCAGTTGTGAGATTCTTAGAGCGCGAGTAACGGAATTCTCGCCGCCCGCTGGTTCCCTGTCTCTCTCTCTCTCACACACACACACACACACATACACGGGCAGAGCCATTAATGCGGGCTTCTGCTGCCGCGGAGCCCCTGCGGACCGATCAACCTGCCTGAACCACACAAACAAAATATATACACGTTTCTTCACGTTGCAATATATGGAAACCTCACGCTACCGTGTCTTGAATTGGTACTCGTGCGTTTTAACACTAGCCGGCAATACCGAACACCTCTTTCCACTGCAGTTTCTAATGAGTGCGCATATAGCACTATCTGAGCGTGTATTAGACCTGTGCTCGGTGGTGAATGGAAAAGGTGTTAAATACGAAAGGTTGTAGTAAATCTCAGTTGATCAATCGCCCTCGCGCAGGGCAGAACATGGATGTCAATGCAGCAAACGCCGCTCCTCTCCATACGCGCGTGGACGCATGATCACCGTCAACTGGTGGCAGTTGGTTCGGCTCATTTCCTCGCAAATCAGATGTGTGATAACTGTTTAATAATATCTCTCCTATTGCTTTAGATGCGTGGATTCAATCAACCGACACAACTCCATCACCGGAGCGCAGGGAGATATCCTTGCGTTCCACATGGACAAGTTTCATTGCAACAGCACCGACGCCGTTTTTCTTTCCATATATCACCGCGAACCGCATCCTTAAGACAAACCCTCTTACCTTTAAACTGGTGCGTTCAGATCCCATACTTCTCATGATAAAAATCCACGCGCAGTCACTCCGTATACCGTCTGTAGAAGAGCAGTAATCCACTTTCCCATGCCGGGGACAGACAGCCACAGACCTGGACTACATCCTTTCTATCGCACACCAAAGCTGATGGGATTTTTGCGCTTCTTTTCCCCTTCACCCTGTTCTTTCTCTCCGCTGCTCCAGCTGAAGTTGCCTGGTTACCTCTCTCTAAAAGCGCCGCTCCCGCAGCCAATCACGAGCGCGAGTGCGCGTTAACCCGTCGGTCGCCGAGCTGTCCTGGTTTCTTGGTTTCAGGGGAAAACGCAAGGAGTGGGAGGGGTGAGCGAGAGTTTTCTATACCAAAAAGCTAAGATGTGCAAAAGAATACAAAGACAGAAAGGGATGCGGGGGGTGGATGGATGATGGCTCAGAAATGAAGAGCATCTGATTTGCTGAGACTTAACATACATGAAAGTATCATTTGTACATCAGCAAGAGCGTGTAGAACAGGTGCACAGAGGGCAAGAAAAAAAAACTGAAACTGAACTAGATCCAGCGACGTAGGTTGGGTTATAAAGTTGCTAAGACTACATAGGAATAAGGCAGGCGACAAAAACAAATAGCCTATTATATATTTAAAACAAAGCGCGATTAAAGCAATGATGACTCATCTTAAAATATTGCGAAGAAAATGGAACTGCATAGAGGTAAGTAGGCTTCCACCTCATCCATCGTTCTTTTTGTGTCATACAATTCTTTAAATTGTTACATTAAGTATTAATTCATTCTTTAAAATAAATGTTCCAGAAGCAGGTTTTTGGAACAATGCCATAGAAGAATAATTTTTGGGTTCTCCAGAGAACCTTTCTGTGAACAATTATTTGAAAAATTCTGTTGATGTCATTGATATACATTTATTTTTTACATTTATTTTCTGTTTATTTTAAACAGTGTTCAAAATATTTTGTTCTAAAGACAAAATCTTAGAATCAACCTTGATGTATGCATCTGCTGACTAATAAAAAATTAGCAGTGGGTTTAACTTTTGGAAATTTAATTTGCTGTATTCTTGCTTGATTTCAAAATGACAATTCTCTTTCCACAACCCCAAAACATGAGCTCGTGTATTTCTATTCATCAACCTCGCCTTTGGATCTCTAGTGTGTTGGCATTCTAAGTTGTTTGAGGAAAACTGCCCAAATGTTGGCCAGGGATTTTGTGATTTTCAGAAAGTTGGTAGGAACCCCATCACTATACCCTAATCTATGCCCATGACTAGATCTTCTGTTTATGACAGCTAATAATCTTAAAGCAGCTATGCAGTGGCCATTAGAGAGTTGTGAGTTCTATTTGAACCTTCTGGGTCACCTCATCATGCAGAGTATTGATTTTAATTCCATCCTCTTCCCAGTTAGGAGCTGCCAAGTGCACTACGCCCTTTTCACTCTCAATCACTGTAAACGGGACTAGGCAGCATCCGGCTTCGCACTGATTCAAAACATGTGGACTACAAAACTCCAACATGCCACCATGATCATTCCAAGACATTAATAACAAACTCTATAAATGTTCACGGCACTGTTTCAGACGAAATTTTTACTGCAGTGCATTAATGCAGCTCATTGCACGTCATGGTAGCAGGTAGCTTGTATGTAATTTGGAATGCTGGAAATTTAAGAATAAAGTCATGCAATGTTTAAACTGAATAAGGCAGACGTAAGTGCCGGTATGTACTGAAGCTTTGGAAACAAAACCAACGGTTCAAAAACATAAATATAAAAATGAAGAGAGCAATGCTACGCATTTTGCTGTCTTCTCCTGCGCTATAAGCAACGGGGTTCGGACCCAAATAATATAATGTGAACACAGTCCAGTGGGGGCAGGGGGCAGGGGAGGGGGGAGCAATCGAACTCGGGTTCGGACCAAGCAATCGGACCAAGTGTGAAAGCATCAAGATCAGTGGATGAACTCTTTTACTCTTTTCTACTGTCCCACCCACTAATGTTGGTTATTCCTTCTGTACTGTCCACAGCTAAGCTGAAAGTGCAATAAAAATGTAGTGTTATCACTAAAATACATTCTTTCTCCTAAATCCTTTCCAACTCTTTCTTGTTCTTTCTATCTTTCTCCTCCACCCACTCAGGAAGCTGAAGCATTTTATTGTTGACTGCACTATTTTATAATCTTTTATTAAATCAGTTTTAACTTTTGCCATGACTCGGAGTCGGCCTACATGTCAAAAGTGTGATCTTGGGTCAAGTATTGCAGGTGAAGCACATGTTGTCTGTTTTCTATTAGAAGAAAATGGTTCTTCGGAAGTCTATGAGTATTTTAGTAAATAAAATAAAAAATACTTTCTTAATGAGTATCGTTGTCTTCTCCTGTAAAATTATTAGATTTTATATACTATATATAGAAATAGAAATATTATAATTTGAAATAAAAAAGCAATGTAAAGTTTTTAAATTAATTTATATTAATTTACTGTATATATTAAAGTGTAAAACCATCTGGCAGTACATTGAAACAAGATATATTCTACCTGAAAATAACTCATGCTGTCATGTAGACCAGGCAAATTAATCTTGATTTTAAAAGGATAGTTCACCCAAACATGAAAATTCTATCATCATTTACTCACCGTGAAGTCATTCCAAACGTGTATGAGTTTCTTTCTTCTGTTGAACATAAAAGAAGACATTTTGAAGAATGTGGGTAAACAAACAGTTGCTAGTAGACACCTTCATAATATGGAAAATACTGTGGAAGTCAATGGGGACCAGCAACTGTTTGTCTTGTCGGCAGTCTTCTTTGTTAAACAGAAGAAACATCATGAGTTGTGTGGGTAAACAACATGAGTTTGAAACAATGATTTATGTGAGAAAAAACAAAATTGAAAACTAGAAAAAGATACTCATCAAAAATAATAATAAATACAAAAAAATATTTTCAGTGTAGTAAATCTGGAAATATCAGTGAACTTTAAAATTCTGATTTCCAAGCCTAGAAAAGTCATAGAAAGGAATACAATATTTAAAAAGTCATAGATAAACCATGGGAATTTCCATAGTGAGCACACTTTTTCTCATTATGCTAAGCTTTAAAAATGGACAAGATTGCACTTTGCAAGCACAATCTCTTTAAAATGATTTTTATAATTATTATGCAGTAATCAGACAGCTGTGTGCTTGTATTACGTTTATTGTACATCTGTATATTTGTGGATATGTTTCTTTTCATAGGTTGAAACAAAATCCCCCTTTAAAGGGTCAATATATGTCACATATTACACTATGTAAGAGTTCAGCTCCAACCCTGAAAAAAAACCTCACCTGCCTATAGCCTTAGTAATCCTGAAGACATTGATTAGCTTGTTCAGGTGTGTTTGATTAGGGTTGGAGCTGAACTCTGCAGGACTGTGGCTCTCTAGGACCGAACTTGCCTACCCCTGTTCTAGGGGTAAGATTCTTGTTTGGGTGCGCGAGGTCCTGGGTTCAAATCCCAGACGAGCCCCCAATTGTTACTGTACCTGCAAAAAGGGAAACAAAATCCCCCTCTAAAGGGTTCATATATGTCACATACTACACTATGTACTATAATTACTATTACCCCTTTTTCTCTTTATCTTTCTTTGTTGTTTGGTGGAGGTTTTTGTTGTACTGAACTCATTCTGTTCCAGAATCTCATCACCAGTTTCCCCGCCACAGAGTCCATGTCCTGTTTGCAGTTCATTTCACTTCACTCTCACTCACTTTTCTCATTACCCCCATTTCTGATAGTCTGTTACAGCATTTTCTCTCTCCACTATCTCCACTTGTCTTCTCATCCGCTGGTGGGATGTTTATTTCATTGCCTCTGTTTTTTCATGCGGATGTTTTCGACCAAAGATTTTAATCCACCGCACCCCTCCCCCTCTCCACCATCCAAGCACATAGCAGCCCATCCTCCTGCTTTCTTCCCTCCATCCCTCCCTAAATGAATAAGAGATAAGGAATAAAATCAGCCCATCGTATTAAAAGCACCAGAGAAGGTCCTACAGGCTGTGACAGATATACGCCGGCCGGACCAGCTTCAAGAAAACAGCTTAAGCTCAGAAAGGCAATAAAATAATCAATATAAGCACAATCCTAAAATTTGATCACCCAGGCAATACACATCACTTCATGTGATACTGGCCTGTCAACTCTCCTTGAGCTAAACCACTTGGCAGACATAAAAAAACAGGATTTGTTTTCAAGGTTAATGATCTTATTTGGCACCCTCACACTGAACATTTCAAGACAAATATGGTTGTTGCTCCAAAAGACTCAACGCAAGCTCTTAGTCTAATAGCGTACTCTTGAAAAAAATCCAGTTTTGGTTGGATGGCATGTCAATGAGCACATTCTGATGCATGCATCTTTAGCAGCACATTCCCATCAGACATGATATGAGAGGGACGAGTGAAGCCAAACGCGTCTTAACCTTCCCGCTCCCCTCCCCTGCGCTTTATTATAGTGCAACGCACCAAAGGACACGTATCGATCCAGCATCTGGAGGTTAATTTTTTCGGTAGGCCCATTCTTTTCTCAGCAAAGTGGATTATTTTACCCCTGACCAGCTAGCGGCTTGTTTAAAAGCGTGTGTATGAGCTAATCTTCCTGTGCTGGAAAGCTCATTTGTAAATCAGTCTGTGAAGGCATGGAGAGCTTTGAACAGTGGTCAAGTAGGAGTTTTGAGGCTTCTCTATGATGGATGGATGAATTGAACAATAGGACACAGGATGTCACATAGTTCTCCACACCTACACTTCACTTTTTATGCCACTCTTGGTCTGTTTTCAGCTCTGCCTGGGATGCTGAAGGTTACATGTGTTATGCATTGATCAGTTATGATGTCTGGACTACTTTTCACTTGTTTCCAGGCTGTATGTGTGCAGGGTGGTGGAACTATAGGGATGATATAATGGAGAGGCGGTTGACAGCTAAGGGACTCTCTGCCTTACTGAAGAGAGATGAAAGAAAGGACAAACCTATCAGCAACTCCTAGCACAGGAGTACAATGCTGGACACACACACACACACACACACACAC